GAAGATATCTGTATTTTTCATCCGTCCTATTTTGTTTATATTTATTTCTTTAATTGTAACGTGAGTCAAATTAGCAAAATAAGGGTTAGCATGGGATAAAACCAACAGGATTCAGCATCATTACTTCAGCATCGGTATCACAGACATAACGCATATTATAAATTCAATATTCACACAAATTAGGCCTCTATTGTCAAAAATATTTAGGACACCATCACATCTGTCATGACTTCAACATCACACTTAATAGGACTTATGAAAACACATACGAGGATATAAAAATATTAAAACTTCAGTTTTAAACCTGTTTGGACTTCAACATTACGTATATCAGGACATCAACGTCACACATAATGACATCAATATCACGTGTATAAGGAATAATGACAACATATGTGTATGCGTAATGGCGGAATATATATCGAAGGTAAGAACATATTGGCTTGTGTTAATTATACTTTCTACATTTTCGGATCCAGAGTTATATACTCCATAATAGTATACAAAAATATGCTGATGATATATGTTCCAACACATGAAAAGAAAAGAAAATTTTATTTCGGGCCAAATGCAGTGCCAACAAGGCATCGTGATCTAGATAACCTAACATGTAAATTTGTCTGTTCTTTTGCTAGGCAAACGTTTGTCATATAATTTCATGGATTCTGCAGACGGATTATCGCAAGTTTAACCTGGATGTATGTGTAAATATTTAGATATAAACATGGGCTTTCACTTCACAAATCAAATTCATTCAAGACAAATTACACACGACTCACGTTTTTAATCTTTCAATACTGAGGGACTTTTGAAAGAGAGCTGAATATGTATGATTTGTACCATGAATAATACTAGCAGGCACATGCTTTATTGTCAAATATTTAATTGTACTAAGTAACTATTAACCAATAAAATGTGTTGATACCTCGCAGATGTCGTTGATTCTACCATAATACAACACATATCTTTGTTTATCTTAAATAACAGTGACAAAATCTGTTATTCATATGTTTTCGTTTCGAAACCCTGCATATTAGCTTCGGTGATAAAAAGTGTCAATTAAATATCTGGATAACGATCATTCATTATATATATTTGAAGTGCATGGGTACAAAAATCTTTATGAAAATTTTAGAAGGTCACATATCTTATACAGTACATTATAACAACAACGTCATTGAATACTAAGTATAACACTTACAATACAAATGACGTCACTCATTCTTTTGTATATATGTATTGTCCTTTATTCTAAATCTGATTGACATTTAACATTGGCAAACATATTTCAGTTTCATTTAAATGTAAATGAAACGGAAATAAAAACTGCTGTTGTAGATTTCACACTAGAGCTATCGTGACATGATCATGTTCTCATTAATAATCCCGGGACATGCGCAGTATATACCAAAGCGGCGTAAACATATTTAGCGAGCACCTGATTGACAGGACATGTGCTAACTTGGCACATTATGTCAGATTGCCAGGAATAATTGAAAATTAATAGATTTTAATTTAGAAAAACAAGTATGCAAAACGGAAGGAAGATATTGGTTCATTAAACTATATTAAAAACTCTCCATTAATGTAGTTTTAAAAACATTATTAATTTAACTGAAGTTATCGTAAATGTGTAACAGCAAGTGTCTGGGTTAAGAGATTACATCACCTAGGCCTTGCGTCACAATACAGATGAGCGACAACCTCACATCTTTGCGTGTGTGATAGATTGTAACGGTAAGGAAATCACCAATCTGACGCACCTGTTATACGTTAATATACATCAAGACAATGTACAATCTGTTTTGGAAATGTGATTCAATACAAAAAGAAAACACAGCTTGGAAGCTACTTAGTACATGCACCTATGTTAATGAGACAGTATTGTATTTCTCTGTTCGTGTCTAACTTTGGTCTTTGCAGTGCATACATACATATAATTAAGCTTTAAATAAAGGCAGATGTTTTTTTTTATTCCGTACGCAGGCCTTTCGGCGGCCATATGTTGTGAATAACATAATTATCTACTTATATGATATAGGGATAAAAACGAGAAAATTGTCCTCAGCATAGATTGTTATTATACTTAGATAGTTGTTTTCTTATACATTATAGGTGATACTCTTTATTTTTGTATTTACAATTTTTTTGTTAAATGCTAATTTTTTTATATATATTTTTTTTTCATTTCTTACGTGCATTATTAATTAAATTTACAGCTATGCCATCAACACACTAGTCTTACGAAAATGATGCTAAATGTGTTTTTGTCTGCTTAATGTTCATTCAAGTTGATTAGAGATACTGTGCAAAGTAAGCATGAAACAAACTGTTCAGAACCAAATTATTAGTCAAACAGCACTTTTCTAGACTGATTAATTGTGTGGCGTAGTTTATCTATCATGTGATGTATTAAATCTATAGTACAAATAAGTAACATGTACATGATGCACTGGTCAGACAAATAGGTTGCCAAGCTAACAATGCTGAGCATAACAGCTTTAGTTTATTTTTTTGATCCACTAGCAAAAATAACGGGCACCAAGTTGAAAAAACAATACTGACAATATCTATTCTGGTAAAAGGCGCCATCTTATGTCGTTGATGTACATGCATACACTATTTAACACACACTTCTAAAATCGTCATGCTGTTATGCATACTGTTGTATTTACATATTTTGACTCAGCCTTTTTTATTCCAGATTGTCGATAAACCCAAGGCACATAGTGGATTAAAAGTTGATAGGTTGGGAGGTCTTATGGAGGTAAAATGACAGGTTTGATGTTGGGACGATATATTTCAATAGAAATTATGTCGTGGAAGTCATTGCGCTAAAGGGATATAGTGATAAACATCAGGGCCCGTATTCATTAAACCGTTCTCATATTCAAGTATGGATATTGTGCTCGAACCTCATTGCCTGTTCTGGTTACAAATTAATCAAACAAATGCTAATTTCTCAATGATTTGGAGAAGATTTTAAAAGCCGCCTATTAATGTTTTCAACGTTTACGTCATTTGGCTTCTACAACTACACACTTCTCCTTTTCCTATTTGATCGTTTCTTACCATGGTGTAACCTTTAATGGCTAGTTCTGAGAATAAAATGAAGAATATATCGTGTCAGGTTTTCGATTATATAGCTTCAATGGCTGTCATGGAATCGTTGACCAAAGATTACAGTTCATCGATTTTATTCCGTATTGAGTGAGTGCGCATTAAGATGTAAAATTAAATATGCTTTCTGCTGTAACTATGGGAAAAGTTTGATAAGATAAACTGTAACTACCAACTACCTATAACTACCGTCAATTATTGCTCAGATAAACTTTAACGTCAAAAAGAATCCGGAAATGTTAACACTAACTTCAGATGGTTTTCAAATCGTCAGATGGGAGATCACTCTCATTCGAAAGGCTGATGAAAAGCTACGACACGTGATGTTATTGGTAAGATGAAGTGTTATTATTGGTGATTTGTGATATTGACTTGGTGAAACTTTTTTTTAAACAGCAGGTCAATATTCACTTTAAGGTTTCATTTCAAATGTCAAGTCACAATGATCTCTGCCAAATGCAGTATTTTCCTTCATATAATATTCATATTTTCTATCTTGTTTAAACGATTTAAACATTACTTAGCATCTAGTATAACAATTATTGACTTCGTTTTCGGTGAATATTTGGTTATATTTCATAAAATAGTTTTGTATTTGGTGTCCCTTGGAGTTGATGGGACAAATAGCTAAACATATAGGAGTGATGACCACTCGATTGTTGTTGTTTTTGTTTTTTGTTTACTTGTTGATTTTGTTTTTTCTACTTTTTTCTACTTTTTTTCTACTCAACTTTCCTGAAGTCATTTATGATGCCGTTGAAACAAACTTTTACATCATGTACTACAATTTCTGAATTTTCGGTTAATAATTTTGTTATATTTCGATGCTAATTAGTTGCAAAATATATATCAAGCATATTTCGAAAATACGCTTTTTTCTTACAAGGTAAAGAAACAAAATTAATGGCGACGAAAATAAGAATGAAAATAAACAGAAAACACAAAAACATAGCAACTTATAGCTTCCATGGCATCATTATAACTTATACCAAGACGTTGTCATTACCATTTAAACGTCAAGCTGAAGTAATTTGCTTCCCTTTAACTACTAAATTTTAATACTAAAATTTTATATATGACTTCCAGCTTATTTTCGGCAATGTTTCACTCTCTTATTTTTGGATAGACATCACGAGATTTCAACACGTTTACTATGCTTAACAACGCTTAACTTTGGACTGGATTCACAGCGACAAAAAAGGAAGTCATAATCATGAACTCTCATGCTTTCTCAAGATACTCATCCAAACATAATGCTGGTATGACTACTCTTTTAAATTCGTGTAATATCCCTTACGAAACGAAGTCGTTGAGCATTATTACAACAAGTGCTTACCAAAAACAAAAACAAAAAAAAAAAAAAAAAAAAAAAAAAAAAACATTGACCTTTGGCCTATATACTTAAAACCAAATGGGATTCATCCTTTTGTCGTGGTCAACCACTGTACGAAGAGCTGGTGATATTATTTCAGGCAGTGACTTTGACCTTGAACATTACAACCCGAAACACAAACGCACTACAGGTATTCACACATTTGATAATTGTTTGAAGTTTTAAAAAACATCATTAAGACACTGACCTTTGAACTATGGGGTTGAAGCTCATAACAGATTATTCTGTTGTCTTGGTCAAACACTGTATCAAGTGTGGGTGATATATGATACAATCAGCATGTTCACTATCGTTCACACAAGTTTAAACACTGTACGAAGGAATGGACGGTTACAATATCAGCCTGCTAATCCTAAACCCCAAACCCCTTACCCAAACCCCGAGCCCCACACGAACCATACCCCCTCGTTGCAAGGATACAGTGAAGTGTTCCGGGAGGGATTACAAAAAAATATGAGTGACTCAAGAAATAAAAACACAAGCGCCATTTTTCACAATTTTTTTGTTTTATATCGTTGGGTTATAAGTTTGTAGAATAGTTCAACATACTTTTGATATTGCAATGAAGACTAACCACACATCACATTCTGCTTATCAGATCATGATTGAAATACTTTTCAATTATTTTCTGATAACTTTCTCACAGGACAAATATGAAAAATGCATGAAAATTGTTAATAAGGCACCACAGTTGCGTAAACATTTAACAGATATTGAAAAAAAAAATCTTAAATACGTAAAAAAACCTCTTACATGTAAGCAGATATATAAAGCATTAACACAATTATATCTAAAGCCTAAACTGACGTTCTCTGAGCAACCATTGTTTCACCCAAGACTGCAATTATCATTGTAAACGCTTATTCATATATCCTTACAAGTTACCATGACGTCGAACAAAGCACAATAATTCAACTGTTACGTTTGGTCCGAGTAATTTCAGGAATAGTTTTCTTCTTTTATTATCGTTGATTAAAAAACAAACATCCACACAAATGCAGCAGTGTTGTTTCATTTCAACAGATTTTATTGACAGATGCTATTGTCAAATTGATTGAATAAATAGCAAGCCTATGTAAATTCTGTCCATGATTGGCTCCAATTTGATTCAATATATGTACAATGTACTAAGAATATCGATTTAGAGATACCTACTTGTACTTGTACTTTGAAATGAAATACTATGAAATGAATCAGGGGAGGTAACTCCAACATGATTAACACATAGGGGATTGGACAACACACAAACAACACACAACTATACCTCCAACAAACGTACAGTTATACTCTCAGTAAATATAGCAAAGTCACAATGAGTAATCCATATGTACAGAAAGAGTAGCCATTGACCAGTTATTTAAAACAATTTGACTCTTATGTTTTTATGAAAACATGCGTTACTTTAAGGCATTTTTGTAGATTAATACGGTTTACAGAATTGGTTGATAATGTCTACAATCCTTTGTTTAAATGGATGCCACAAATATCGTGATGTCACAGGCATAACGCATGTTCACATTGTTTTCGAAATGTCTTATATTATCAACTAACACAAGTCGCATAGTCACTTAGTGATATTCGTGACTGAAGCAGATATCAAGACGGTGTTCTGATTCACTCAGTGGGTTTTGTCCGAGGCGTCACTCAACCAGATACTCGGCTGAAGCAGGTTATCAGCCGATGAAAATAGAACTCCTTGTCACTTAGTGGTTTTCATTCCAGAAGCAGATATTCAGTTGATGAAGATCGGTTTCATAGTCAATTTAGGTTTTTAAATCCTTAAACATGTTTTAGTCGATGAGAATGTATCCTTGTCTCGTAATGGTTTTTCGTTCAAGAAGCAGGCATCCGGTTAACTAGAATCCGTTTACCAGTCCATTACTATCGGTGATACAAGTCTGCTTATTTGAAACTGTACGTATATGTCTCCACCTTTCCGCTACTGTATCCTACCCAAAGCACATGCGTCGCACTATCTTGCAGTATCTCCACGGCCTGCGGGTGGTCCTGGCTAGTAATCAAAGTCTGCAGGAAATGGCCTTTACTGTCCAACAGTAATACGCTACAGCTTCCACAATCAGCAATCAGTATGTTACCATCTCTGTCAAAGGTAACGCCCTGTGGATCGTCCATTTGTTGGCCACGGTACGTAAACTTCAAATTGAGTTTCTCGTCACATACATACAGACATCCTGGATCGTTGTTGAGTATTACCACGTCACCGGAATCGCCATTCACGCGAACAGTGTTCGGTGACGTCAGCTGCCAGTCCATTACATTTCCGGACCCCAAGGATTTCCTATCCCCACTCGTGTCTACCTTTATTGGCTTCACTTGTCCCGAAGAGACGATGATAATTTCATTGTCAGCAGTGAAGCTGATGCTCTGTGGGTCCGACTCAAACCGAAATAGTTCATCCTCGACCGAGTCTGCCCCGTCTGGAATTAGTTTTCTGATCGTGTTGTCCTCACAAGCTACCACAAGAGCGACCAAATCATTATTCTGGGGCAAAACACACAGATCATTTACACCCGAGTCAAGTTCGATCGTATCTAGTTTGACACCTTCAAAAGTGAATAGAGATACCTTGCATTCATCCCCGCCAACCCACGCAGCCTCACCTTCCATCACAGGACAGATACGAAACACAGCTTCGTCGTCTACGTTACAAAACGACGATTTTAACGTCAGACTAACAGTGGCGATTTTTGAGGCGTCGATTTTCAGTTTCCCGAACAGCGTCTCCAGGGTTGCTATATCTTCCGAAGGGGAGGGGACTATGAATGTTCGGTTTCTAGTCGAGGTCGTTTCATCTTCTGCAGAAAGATCCTCTTTTAACTGTTCCCCAACTTTTAAAGCCTTTTTGATGTCTTTGTACTTGGTCGAATTAACAAGGGTACGACATTTTTGTGATTTCTCTTCAAATTCCATATTTGAATGTGTAATCTTTGCAAGAACTTTCTTAAGAATTCTGTCATTTCTATTTCGGTATCTTCTCGCTTGTTTCTTCCCATTTGCAACAATTTCATCGATATGAACTTTTAATACTCTGCCTCGTTCTTCAATTTGAGAAATCAATAGCTCGGACTCGGCATTGTTCATACTGATCCTTTCTTCCACATTAGCCATGTCAGCGTCTAGCTGTTCCAAACGCTCGTCAGTCTCATAAAGGACTTTTAACACAGCTTGTCTCTGCTTTGATATGAATTTCTGCACATCGCCCATAAAATGTCCATTGTGACCTTGTAACACGCACTTGCGACATACCATCTCCCCGTTACACGTTTGGCAAGAGAACTCCACGGTTTTATCATGATCTGTGCATTTTTCTGATGATACGTCTATGTTAACATCCTTAACTACCTGACCGGCCATGGTTCGAAAAGCTGAAATCATAAAGAAAATTAATTTATACCAAACAGAATTGAATAAAATCAAATGAACAAGGGTTGAATTCCATATAGGTAAAAAGGATAAATGATTACAACAATTTTCACTCTCAATCCCGATTTTTCGGCCTCAATGATGAAATGTTATTATTTAGATTATTTAATATTAAATTTTTGTTGCAAACACACCTCAAATCTGACACCTTTACAGAGAATCAAAGTTAAAGCTATTGAAATAAAAAAGCAAGCAAGTAATTTTACCGGAAAAGTTCATAACATATTTCTTTGCGACGTTTTCGCCATAATAATAAGAACGAATTTATCATGACAGCGACCATAAGCACACAGCACACCACCATACACAATTATATATGTACGGCGAATTGACAGTGGGCAAATATTGATTCAAAAGAAGTGAAGGAGTATGAGTGGGAGAATGTTTCCCGGTATTCAGCACTACTGAAAAGATTTTATTACTTTACACTTTAAGGATCTTTGTTGGGAGATTTAACTACTTTTACTCATATGACATTACCTTTTTTTCTCTTTGATTTAAGGACTTTCAGAGGAATCCCTTTAATAAATTTGACTCATGAGGCGACGACAACCGGTCATGGTATGATGACGGACATGGCCTCAGCGCATACACTACGTCCACTTCGTAACAGATGAACTGAAAACCACTGAAAAGAGAAGTATTTAAATAAATAAATAAATAATAACACTAATGCTTACTAATTGGAAAAGTTAAATCCAGGGATTTATTTTGTTTATTAACGCTTTCCGATGGAAAATATAGAAAAATTAAAGAAATGTTTTCCTGATTTCTGTTTCCTCCACCTGCTTTTACATGCCCATTAGAATCTCCAATAGTTTGTACAAAGTCCCGTTTTTTATACATTTTTAATTTGGCACTTTTAGCTTATGACCCTATGTGACAATCCTCAATACTCCAAGGGGTACGTTCACTTTCGCTCTCTGTACCCCTGTAATACGTCACAGCAAAATTGAAGGCATGATACCAGCTATTTGGTTGGACTCGGGTAAAACAAAGCCTGACCAATCGATAAGGCAGATCGTTTCCTTTAAAAATTACAGAGGAGCGACACATGACTTCAAAGCCACTCAATTTTATCGTCACGCGACCACCGGATTATCAAACTAGTCTTCTCGTCTCATCCACAAGGTGTTGTGCACTGAGCCTTCAATTTTTCTTTGAGACATTCCAGGGTTGCAGAGAGCGAAAGTGACGGTAAACTTCTTTTGTATGGCTTTCTGCATCAATAAATTTTAAATAGGTGATTCTTCTCTTCGATTTTCTAGTAGTTACTCGACCATGGTCACATATAAAAGTTCCTAGGGGCCGATTTCTTCAAATGACAAACCCTGCCTAGAAATTCCAGCTTTCGTTATTGTTATTCCCCATCTGTCCAAACCTGCTTGATAAAAAATCTCCAAGAACCAATTTTTCTATATGTGAACAAATACGTATGCATCAAGTCCGTTGTCTATACCTTCCATCTCTCTTTAACTACCTGTTAAAATCTCCAGGGGCTTATTTCTCTAGATGCCATTAAGCAGTGTATAAAGTTCCGCTGTGTACATACATTCGTTTAAATGTGAAACATCTTCCTTGATTGACTGTGTTTGGATGTATTATGATATAAATCAATATAAATACAGACTGCCTCTCCTAACAGCATAAGGTAGTGCAAAGACTGGTTAGCTTAATCGGTCGTTAAGGTTAGCTTTAAAATTCTATTTTTGAGAGAGAGAAAAAAAATATAAATAAAACTAATCACCTCATATTACATTATATATTTATGTTTCTTGCCTTCATAGGATCATTTTGATTAAATATCCATACCATTTATTTCTTTAAGTTTATACAGTTTACGTAACATGTCCGTCAATCTAGCAAGGCTTTGTATAACTAAGCCCAAAAATCTGTATACGGTACCTTGTTGTTCTGAAAGTGTAAAAGCTCGAAAAAAATCCAGCGGGCATTTATATAGATTACTGTAAAAGTGGGAAATTTCGCGGTGTTGATATATTCGCGTTTTTAGCAATGCGTAAATAAGCGTAAAAATATCCATACGCGAAAACTTTTTTATAGATAATTTAGATTATAGATATATAGTTTTCACACCGCAAATAGTCTAAATAGTCATAACGCAAACATTTTAACACGCGAAAATTTCTTCTTTTATAGTATCATATGATTATTTTAGGTAGGAATGAATATATATAATTGTGTGGACTACAAAGTGAGGTATATATGTTATGGTCAGTATGTTTCCAATGAATGTTACATTAAGACACACTATATAGCCTCTATTACAAGAGTTTATGTAAGTACATATGATCATGAATAGTAAGCACCACAATACAGTTGATCTCGAGTTTAATAGGATCGTTCCTTCTCTTACCCTGGACAGAGTTACCACCATCTTACCGGTGTGAGATTTTCTTTTCTCCCACACCTGACAGATTTATCTCCCGTTTTGCCGGTGCTAGATTTATCTGTCTCCTCCCTAGGGTTGAGACGGGGGGATTCCCCTATTTATAACAATGGTATGACGTCACTGCAACAATACAATGACGTCACGTCAACAATCCATCAACGTCACGTCAACCCTGAATTTAGCATGTAACGTTATCATTACATTGTGTATATGATACACATTAGGAAAACAGGGTAAGAGAAAAAGAATCATTCACCCCCTTGTGGGTAAGATAGGGGAATCTCAACCCTCGGGGAAAGATTCTTAAGTTGCCAAACACTCGGCTAAACCTCGTGTTTGGCAACATAAGAATCTTCCCCCTCGGGTTGAGATTCCCCTATCTCACCCCAAAGGGGGTGAATGATTCTATTAGTCTCCCACACCTGACAGATTTATCTCCCGTTTTGCCGGTGCTAGATTTATCTGTCTCCGCCCTAGGGTTGAGACGGGGGGATTCCCCTATTCATAACAATGGTATGACGTCACTTCAACAATACAATGACGTCACGTCAACAATCCATCAACGTCACGTCAACCCTGAATTTAGCATGTAACGTTATCATTACATTGTGCATATGATACACAATGAAAGAACAAGGTAAGAGAAAAAGAATCATTCACCCCCTTGTGGGTGAGATAGTGGAATCTCAACCCTCGGGGAAAGATTCTTTAGTTGCCAAACACTCGGCAAAGCCTCGTGTTTGGCAACTTAAGAATCCTCCCCCTCGGGTTAAGATTCTCCTATCTCACCCCCAAGGGGGTGAAAGATTCTATTAATCTCACTCTAGGGTTGAGACAAGCTACACGTGTTCTTGCCACGTTCTCAACAATTGTATGACGTCATAGCAACAATACCATGACGTCACGGCAACAATACAATGACGTCACGTCGACAATTCAGCCGCATCACTTCAACATTGTCTTGCATTGTTTTAACGTCTATATAAAATACCTAAGAGGGTAAACAGGGTCAGAGAAAAATAATCATTCACCCACTTGGGAGTGAGACAGGGTGAAGCCTCGTGTTTGACAACTTAAGAATCTTAACCCTCGGGTTGAGATTACCCTGTCTCACCCCCAAGGGGGTGAAAGATTATATTATTCTATCGCGAGGGTAGGAAACAAACATTTTAGCCCGAGGAGGGGATTCTTGAGTCTTACCCGAGGCTTTGACTCTTCCGAGAGTGGAAATTTCTCTGTCCAACCCACACGATAGAGAATGATCCTTTTTCTCTACCATTTTCAAAAAAACATATTTAATGAAAGTAATGCTTTCTCCATTCAGTCATAGAAAAGAAATATATTGATCACTAGTTGTTATATTAAGAATTGAGACTGATATCTCATCAATTTCCATGTATTACGATTCTAAAATAATAAAACTTGAAAATTAACAAAATCCGTATACTTTTATGTGTATGATCTTATAATAACATACATAATGATGTCAAAACCAGAAACAATACACAACAGAACCACTGGAATCATTGTCAACGCATAAATTAAAGCAATGTAAACATTTTACTGTAACATGTAAACAAAAGATGTTGTTTAACATACATGTATATATATACATTGACCTACAACAGCCTATACGCATACATCAACTGATGTCAAGTGGCGTTAAACTGAAATGTTCACTGAAACCAACACAACATTGGCGGCCATCGATCCAATCGGCTAACACTGAAATATTTGTATTGGGTGGGCAGATAAGGAAAATTTGTCACGGCCAGTTTTCAAACAAACTCAAAGGTAAATAGTAGCATTACTGCCGTATCAAATAACACGTTGACACAGCACACTGAAAACCTTTGTCAGATTAAGTGTATTTTAGCATTTAGATCCTCCCAAGTTTAAACTAGATTACACGTGTGTGGATATTGATTTCAATGCAAAGAAAATATGTTTTTGAATGTTAATGATATATTTTCAAATCTAAATGTTACTAAATGCAAATGATATGTTTATGAATCAAAATGATATTTTTAATGGCAAATCTTTTCAAAAATATAACAATAATCAAAAAAATATTGATGTCATATAAAAAAAAATCAGACAAATAGAATATTTATCAAGATTTGATCAGATCACGTTAAAAATGCAGTACCACAGAAAACAATGATCGGGATATTATGCATGCATTTAAATGTCTTCTCTCGTGAAAATAACACTAGAAAAACAAAAAACAAAGGAAGCTCTTGTTTAAAAGTCTGATATGCCTTTTGTGTCGGCGTAGAAAACCTAACAGTGTAAACTATACGATATGGCCGTCTCCGTCCATAGACCCCATGAGTGGTACTAAACGTTAAAGAAAAGAAATGTGTATCTTGCTGTTCCGAGATATATGTAAGAAATGCAAGATAAAAAAAAAAGTTGTAAAAATTACATAATTTTTCTTTTTCTTTCTGTTTTAATGCTTCCTTCTTCTTTTGTCTTTCTGTTTTTCATTTTTCTTTGTTTCTATTTTGTTTTTGTGTCCTGACATCAATACAGTAGAAATGTTTATATATACCACGTATATCAAATATCAATAAGTTGCATTATATTACTGATCTTTGAGTATTATTATACATGAACTTTGTTTTGGTATGAAAGATGTTTGATTGAATCGAATGAGTATTTATACACAAATAGCTAAGACTATACTGTATTGGAAAAAAATCTGAAAATAATAAACAAATATAAAAGAAACAACATATTTACAATTTTGGATACAACAAATCATTTCTAGATAAACAAACAGTTTATGTTAACCTTGCCATAATAGATTCCAGCCACATTGTGACAGCTAACGTCATGCAACAGAGTTCAAGTTCAAGTTCAAATATTTTATTTTCAAACACATAGTATTCATAAAATCACAATATATATATAACTTTGAATATAAAATGTGTCTTGCCAAAATGACTTATTAGACACGTTATAAGAACAATCACACTATTTACTTTTAAAACTATCTTCAAACATCTACATGTAATGTTATTAAACAGTTTTTGTAAAAACAATTATGCTTGATAAAATTTCATTTGTAGCAGGACTATAATTTCCATATATATATATAATACCGTGTACCCCAACAGGGTAAGAGATATCTATGTGCTGCGCAATACTTAATTGGTATATGTGTTCTTGTATAATACTACACTGTTGTGTCCTGTACTTAGCTAGTCTGAGCTACTGTGTGTGTACATTAGGTTTAGGAACAAGTCTATACACGAATTGAAATATATGGGATCAGAACAAAGTCCCTGTAAAGAGCATGTGGTGCAATGAAAAACATATTTGATCAGTGTGGATTTCATACACTGTCTTTCTTCTGAATGATCTCGTGAATATTGAGCTGTCAAATGTACCTATAATACTATAACAACTATTGATTCGTACCATAGCAGCACATTGATCACAAATGTACTATAGTACCAATTATTGCTACCTGAACATTTAAATAGTCCAAAAATTCTATATAAATCATGGATTTTGTTTCTTACCTTTATAGAGCACGTTGTGTTGTAATCACTTAGCAAACGGTCTTTATGGTCACCTGAATATGGACCGATAGGTACCGACAGGTAAGTGTGCTATGTAAATAACTGCGTCATACTACCCAATGTGTTTTAACTCGAGTATTGATCAACATGATAGACTTCCTGCTTGATCGCTACATAGCAAGCTACGCCGATCACGAAATATGATTCGTCTGCTATACAGTAAATTTATGTGGGTATTTTTTTTCTAGCTTTCAGCAGACGAATGTTGATATCTTTCATCAGTGGTTTTCAAGGAAGGAATACCGTATTTAGCTATATTAAGATAGCCAAATGTGTCTATTGATCAGGTGACGGTTTTTTTCAACGAGTATATCTATAGACTAAGGTAAACATGAATAAGGGGAGGCTATCCAAACAGAATATTACGATTATTTTTCTAGGACAGGCAAGACAATCTGACGAGTGACCGGGTGGGGTGTCCTGCTGGTGTCTTCGGCAGTATGTTTCAGTGAGGTAGCACTATAAAGTCGGCATCATTTCCGCGCTATCACAAGGAGACAAACACGAACATATCGCAGCCTCCCAAAACACACACGCATACACTACACACATGCATCTTGCACACAGGGGAGGCCGTCCTTAAATGACTATAGCTGTTGATAGAACGTTAAACAATACTAAACCAAACTGACGTGATATGTTCGTTAATATTCAAATATAAACAAAACAAAATATTTATAATTCGCTACTTAAATTCAAAATTATGATAAAAGTACATTGTTGGCACTTGTATATATTATCTATATGGAGAGGGCTTACATAGGCTGTGCCTGTTGTCCAATCCCGTTGACAATCTGCCATCTTTGTCAATAAAATCTGTTGATATGGAAGAAAAATATTTCTATTCTTTTTCAGTGACAGGCAAGAAGGTCCGACGTGATATATTCGTTAATATTTGAATCTAATCAGAAAAAAAATATTGACAGAACATGATAAAACGTGCAAACAAATTCCTCAAAAGCTTATGTGAAATGAAATTATTTTTGTAAGTGTGTCTATTCGTCTTGGTTACCTTAAAATGCACAAAACTATTTTTTTGATTTATAGAAATAATTGTAGATTAATTTAGAAGAATTATATGTATTCTGAAATATACACGTGCCTTTTAAAATTGTGCATTTTCACAACTTCACGAACAATACCTCTCTTATCGAGATACTAATTCAATTTAACAGTCGACCAATCTGTTGCTCAAATCGGAGGTACCTTTCGCAAATGAGCAAAACAATACGAATGCACTTATTTATATACAGCTAGGTAATGGACTCGTCCAGAAATGAAACCATGGGTTAACACCTACAACCCGTCGTGGTATCGACCAAATAGCAGTCGATTTCAACAAATTCTAGCTATAGTTAAAGCTGACGAACAGTATAAGAATGATACATATTTCTAGATTCTTAAGTTAAAATTACTGAAACATTCCTTTGTTTAAAAAATAGCAAACGTTGTTCTTACGGTTGATAATCACTTCAATATTTTCCACTAGAACAGGTTTTATATATCCTCCATATATATGTGGGCAAAGAAGTAATAACGACAGTGTAGACAAAAAGAATTGTCAAATTTTCAGCGCGATCCGCCTCCTTTTTCAAGACAGAAACATGAATATTTACATATAAAAACATATAACGGAAATAAGCAGTCACTAAGAAACAAGGCAAAGTATAGCAAGGTAATCAATAGTCCCCCACAGGTAATGATTTCTATATTTAACAAACAGTACATTTATGTCAGGATATACCTACTGTTAGGAAAGCTACCTGATACATACTCCTTGCACTAAAACTGGTTACTCCGGGTGAAAAAGTATAGAAGAGATACCCCGGATATTTTTTTTTCAAAAGTAAAGGTCAAGTCAAAGGTCACAGTGACCTAATTCTTGCACACTGCACTCATCCATTCCAAGATGTCCTTCTAATCCAAATCAGGTTACCCCAGATGTAATAGTATAAAAAATATGCCACGGACAAAGTTTTTCGAAAGTTAATGTCAAAGGTCAAGTCATAGGTCACAGTGACCTTATTCTTGCACTTTGCCATCCCAAGATGCCCTTCTACACCAAAACTGATTAATCCAGGTGAATAGTATAGAAGATATGCCACGGACAAACATTTTCAAAAGGTAATGTCAAAGCATAGGTCACAGAGAGGTCATATTACCCCAATTTCAACTGTGTGTAAAATGTGTTAAACATAAAACGATAAGTACATATTTTCACATTTAGGTCCCATTCCATCTTGAAGATGAATAGGATCAGACTTCTTTTTTTACATCTGCAGGGGTTTGTTAAATACATGGTAAAAGACAAAGATTAAATATGTTTCATTTCAAAGTTTATTTCAATATTTTTCATATATTTTTTATATGCACTAACGTTCTATAAGGCAACATAACAAAATGTATATATATATCAAAATATATGTAAAACGACTTTTTGAAAGTCGTATTTAAGACTTAAAAGGTGCGTAGAAAACGAATGTTACAATATAAAACTGATGAAGATTCATTTCATTAAAAATGCTATAAAATCAAAATTATCAAAAATAAAATTCAGATCATTAGTCGTTTGAAGGATCCCTGTACCACTGCCAGAAACCATAATTTTGCGCCGGAACTTGACTTTCGGGCATGACTTTAGCTTGTCTTTCGGGCATGACTTTCGGGCATGACTTAAGCTTGACTTTCGGGCATGACTTTAGCTTGACTTTCAGGCATGACTTTAGCTTGACTTTCGGGCATGACTTTAGCTTTGTTAAATCATTTCTGAAAGGAAACCCATACCTTACAGNTTGACTTTCGGGCATGACTTAGCTTGACTTTCGGGCATGACTTAGCTTGACTTTCGGGCATGACTTTAGCTTGACTTTCGGGCATGACTTTAGCTTGACTTTCGGGCATGACTTAGCTTGACTTTCGGGCATGACTTTAGCTTTGTTAAATCATTTCTGAAAGGAAACCCATACCTTACACGACTTTTATGAAAAAATAAATAAAGATGAAATAAACAAAATCTATTCAACAACAGTGTTGAAGGTGTACAAATACAGTATGGCTATATTAGGATTGAATCCTACACTTCATATAGTTGTACTATCGCTTTAGCCGACTGATCAGCAGCTGCATCCCTAGTCTACGAAAGTGTCCTGGTACAACATAATGTGCTATTGTTGTATCCAAAACAACTAAGTAGAACTTTGGAACTTAAGAAATTATTCCTTTAAAGAAAGAGCGGTCAACCCATTGGAATTCCCTGCCAAATCACGTCGTCACATCACCAACAATAAAAACGTTTGAAGCCCGGCTTGATAAGCACTGGGGACAACCAGAAGGTTTTTATAATCATGAAATTGACAATAATGAACTTATTCACTGTCGGGGCGACTGACCATACATATGATCTGGATATATAGGCTTTTGCCTGCGTCCAGTATTATCAAATTATTATATTATTATTGTTATTATAAAACAAAACAAAAGGGAGGTTATGCAAAACTAAAAAACGTAAAAAAGGGGGGTTATATAAAAATATAAAAAAAAAACAGTGTAGTGGGACAGGAATCCTTGAATAATCCAGATGACATATATTCAAACTTAACTTTCAACAATTAAGATCAAATTAAATGACAATACTGGGTTTTTTATGTTGCTGTAAACATTTAAAGTGGCAACAAATAACAAGGGGGAAATACTCTTTACGATGATCATACACTGAATTTGAAATGTCTCTGTTCCAGCAACTAACAGTGGTTCCAATTAAGAATAAATCACCTTATATAACAACTCATGCTTACCTTTATAGGGCAATAAATACCTTTAAATCCCCATCTCATTTTAAATATTGCAAAATGGGAAACGATTGTAATACGCTATTGAACCATATAAAATGTAATACATTATTAATATTACTTCCTTTTTGATTAAAATAAAGTTATATCATTTGGCATTAGGAAACAATTCTGCATACAGATATATGTACGTATAATAACATCAAAACCACATGGCATTTATTGCGGTCATTAAAAAACATTAATTGGTGCATATTGTTATCATAACAGGATATATTATATCAACAGCACCATTACCTTGTATACATTGTTATCATAACAGCACCATTACCTTGTATATATTGCTATCATAACAGTGCAATTACCTTGTGTACATTGCTATCATAACAGTACAATTACCTTACATACATTGTTATCATAACAGTACAATTACCTTGTATACATTGTTATCATAACAGTACAATTAACTTGTATACATTGTTATCATAACAGTACAATTAACTTGTTTACATTGTTACCTTGTATACATTGTTATCATAACAGTACAATTACCTTGTATACATTGTTATAATAACAGTACAATTACCTTATATACGTTGCTATCATAACAGTACAATAACCTTGTATACATTGTTATCATAACAGTACAATTACCTTGTGTACATTGTTATCATAACAGTACAATTACCTTGTATACATTGTTATCATGACAGTACAATTAACTTGTATACATTGTTATCATAACAGTACAATTACCTTGTATACATTGTTATCATAACAGTATAATTACCTTGTATACATTGTTATCATAACAGTACAATTACCTGGTAAACATTGTTATCATAACAGTACAATTACCTTGTATACATTGCTATCATAACAGTACAATTACCTTGTATACATTGTTATCATAACAGTACAATTATTGGGATACATTGTTATCCTTCGGGACAGTTGAGCTAAAAATGAGCAAATATTTTACATAAAGGGAAAAAATCCCTGAAAAAGATCTGAAACCCAAAGAGGGCACAATAACATATGGTACTGCCAATACACAACAGTTTCAAAGAAATCTATTAAAAAAATGCTGTATCAATATACAAAGTTTGATGCCCATTCATGAAACAGAGACACAGTATGCTTCAGAAACCATCATTTTCGTACTTGAGGTCAAGGTCAAAGGTAAAATCAAAGTCACAGTGACCTCATTTTAGGAAGCCATACACAACTTTTCCATTATATTCATGAAACAACAGCTGAGATATACTCTGAAAACCAATATTTTAGCATTTGGGGTCAGTGTCAAAGGTCAAATTGAGGTCAAAGTGACCTTGTTTTAAAATGTAACACACTGCCTTTCCATAATATACCTACATACAAAGATCGATGAAACAGTGTATGAGATACATGCTCTGGAATCCCCAGTTAGCATGGATGGTCGAAAGGACTTACAGTTAAAAACAAAGGTATAAAAAATCACTGCAACAAATGGCTTAAATGGCCAGAATTGTCAATAACCTGTGGATTAATATTATAAAAATGTATTACAGATCTATTCAAAAACCCTTAAACAAAAATATAGGTATTACTATGATGTCTGAATACGACATTTTCATATCTAACAACAATCCTGCTGATGCTATGAAGCTGTAGGCTAGATGGACACTCTACAGAAATGACCAGGAAAGGGGCAGTATCCAAAGTTCCATTAGGTTGGGCGGGGAGACATTTGCCATCAACAAAAAAATACCATTGCAAAAATATTTACAAAGCAAATATATTGGAAATTAAATTACTTGCATGTACAATGTTTGAGAAACGTGACAATAATAATGATTTCTTACATCAGTCTCAAAATGAAAGGCACAGAGATAAATACTAAGGCAAATCCTACATATGAAATTGCTTAACAAAATTTCTATGAAAAACCAAAATTTCATAATCAAATACGGCTGCCTAATGGCCATCTTTTTCTTCCCATCATTCTCAAAAATTAAAATAGCACAACTGAGAGTTAGATGTGCCAAATGTCTTGAGTGGTTAACACTTCGGCCTTGCACACAGGCGGCCGGGGGTTCAACCCCGAAAGTTGTCGNGTTGGGCGGGGAGACATTTGCCATCAACAAAAAAATACCATTGCAAAAATATTTACAAAGCAAATATATTGGAAATTAAATTACTTGCATGTACAATGTTTGAGAAACGTGACAATAATAATGATTTCTTACATCAGTCTCAAAATGAAAGGCACATAGATAAATACTAAGGCAAATCCTACATATGAAATTGCTTAACAAAATTTCTATGAAAAACCAAAATGTCATAATCAAATATGGCTGCCTAATGGCCATCTTTTTCTTCCCATCATTCTCAAAAATTAAAATAGCACAACTGGGAGTGAGATGTGCCAATTGTCTCGAGTGGTTAACACTTCGGCCTTGCACGCAGGCGGCCGGGGTTCAACCCCGAAAGTTGTCTTACACATGGAATATTCAGAGAAAGTGTCTTTCTCCTGCCCACACAACTCCAGATGGAGTATAAAATGGCCTGGGGTGGATGTTGCGGTATCTGTGCTGTAGCATTTCAAGTGAGGTGGCACTATAGTTTAAATGATGCCATTGGAAAAACGGTCCCACTAAAATCAGAACACAATACATCTCCAGCATACACACATAGGGAGATATTAGCCATGTGGCATAGGACTAGAAGTTAGCGCCTGATAGGGCAGCTCCTGCAAATACCTCAAAATTGTATCAATTAATGTATTATTTAATGTATACGCTAATTGTATTGATTGTATAAATTGTACATATATGTACCGTTTTTATTTTTTCCTGAGATTTTTTTCATAATACTTCAAAATATACAAAATTATCTCTAAACTGTCAAAATCGAAGATGGCTATCTGATGAACAATGTGTACTTCTGATTAGTCTCAAAATGAAATATGCACAACTAGATCATAGGTGAAGCTATATATGAAATTTGAGACAGATCTGTCCAGAAGTTGCTGAGAAATAGCAATCACAAAATTACAGTAAAAATCCACGATGGTCACTTGTCTGCCATTTCTTTCTTTTAGTCACTCTCAAAACAAAACCATGCACAATTATTAACTCTGGGAAATATACAAATGAATTTGAGAAGTATCTGTTCATTTATACTTATACAAATATAGACAACAAACTGAAAATGTCAAAATACAACATTATAATAATAGGCAGCCAAGCGATGGCTGTTGCTGACAAACGGCAGACTGACTCACTTGGAATGTGTAAGGCAATTGAAAATCTACACGCCCGGTCATTGTGGTTCGACTACACTCCGACATATAGCTTTGTATGGTATATAGTGATTTTGCCGATAGATTCCCTACAATCACTATAAGAATAAAATAGATAAAAGAGGAGAAGCGAGTTCTGAATCCAGGTTTTCTTTACTGTATTAATATTGGTGGCGAATATTTTCGACCTTCTTGGCAAGATGTCAGCAGAGGAGAGCTACTTTGGTAATGCTACATAATCATTGTACGATGATAGTTCACACGTTCTTCTATTGAACTCTTCGCCTTTTGTTTCTTCAAAAAACGATGACAGCTAGCTAGCTAGCTAGCGCTAGGAATCTTCACTATTTGAACCATACAAATCAAATATGCCCTTGTCAATGTAATCGGGATATGCTGTTTACACTTGAAATAGCTTACTTACAACACAGTACTAAATCATTGGATCAGAATTTTGATTGAATCAGCCAAATTCTTATTCCCATGTTCGTTTGCAATCTGCCATGGTGTCTTCCCGTTAATGTCTTTTAATGTTGTATTGGCATTGTACGTCAGTAAGAGAAATGTGATTTCCTTATTATTGTTTCTCACGGCAATATGGAGTGGCGTTGAGTTCATAGAATCTAAACAGTTTACATCAAATCTTTCACACTCCAGCAAAACAGTCACCACGCGAACATTTTCCAAAATTACTGCAGTGTGTAAAGGATGGTCATATCCTCTTGAGCAATTTAAGCAATTGACATCTGTTTTTGGATGCGCAACCAGCATCTCAATGATGGATACGTTTGGTTCATCTTGTTCAAGTGCAAAATTCAGGGCTGGTTTATCATCTCCATTGCGGATATTGGTATCAACGTCAAGTTCAAGCAGTTCTTTAACCACTTCGGTATTGTCCCCGTATATTGCTAAATGTAAGGGGGGTAAACCTTCTGGTGTGCAGATAGTCATGTCAGCTCCACCATCCACAAGTGTACCAACTATTTTAACATAATTCCGCTGGATTGCAAAATGCACTGGACATAACTCTCTGTTTGATGGTATGTTGAGGTCAGCACCAAATTTTATGAGTTCTGAGACCAGTGGCAGATTTTCATTTTTGACTGCAAGATCCAGAGGTGTGAGACCTTTCCCAGACAATGTGTTGATATTAGCTCCTCCGCGCTCCAATAATCTGTCTACCCCCCAAAGGCTAGATTTCGAGACGGCGAAATGAAGTGGACTGAAACCCACTACACCCATTTTACTATTTTCTACTGTTTCGTTAAAAAGGGTGTTGACGGCTTCTGAAGGCTGATTCTGAAACAGCGTATCAATCATTTCTGCATTTTCTGTTTGAATTGATAATGCAGTGATCGCTAGAAAATCACTGCTGCACAACTCGTTACCTGCCGAGGCATTTTCAAGTAGCTGCAGCACATCTGTTTTATATTTTTCCTTGAATGTGTCTTCATTATGCCCCTCTCTCAAATTTAGACCTTTTCGTAAGTGAAGCAGGTCATGGCATATGTGAAATGATAATTCCTTCCAATATCGCTTTTCCAAAACGAATACATATTTCTCAGGTACTTCATCTGGGGTCCCTGGGTCGTACCTAACCCGTTCTCGAATGCTGCGACAAGACAAGTTCATGAGAACAGTAGATGGATCAAGAACCTGTTTTCTCATCAAGAACAAAATCACATCTCGGTAGATCTCGTCAGAAAACTCAAAGTGTTCCTCTGTTTGTCTTATCCATATGCCCTTCATGGATTGTAAGGCTGACTCAAGGTCGATGTCACAACTGTCCAAGTTAGAGGTCATGTGTCTTGTACCTTCTTTGATTGCGTGACGCAAAGATTTGCGATCGGACGGTAATCTCCCAAGAATTGCACACAGGCCCATAGCATTAAACTGGTGCTTGCTTCTATGGGGAATAGGCTCAAAATAATTGATCAAAACTTCAAATGGAAACAGGAAAGGGTTTTCTGGAGTTTGCTGCCATTTTGAAATCTGTCGAAATTCACTGCAAATTTTTGGAAAGAAAAAATAATTGCAGTTAGCTGCAACATCAAGAATGTTGACATAGGCACCTTCATCGTCAACAAATGTTCTTTCCAAATACTTTGCACCTATTCCTCTTCGTTCCTCACAAGAGAGTCCCAGTTCTGTGATGTCCATATTGTTTTCAGTGAAAATCAACCCAGATGTTCTGAAGACATCTTCTCTGACTTGTTGGCTGTTCATAATCCATATTACTTTCACATCGACATTTTCGATAAACCTTCTCAAACGTTCGTTGACCTTACCCCATTCTTCTAGGCTTCTCTTATCAACAGAATTCTTCCCTAATGGGTCATCAATGATGAATATCTGCCCTCCTTCCTCGGACAAGAATTTGTCTATTTCACTTGGGTCAGATATTGGGAAAACAGTGTAACCTTTGCTTCTCATATGCAGAGCAGTATGTCTCACGATCGTAGTTTTACCGGACAACGGTGGACCGATGACTGCCAAATGCTTCTTGGATTCTAGGCACTCCACAACAGTTTTAGATGCACCTGTCTCGAAGAAATCCTGTTCATCCACATACCATGCGTGCACTTGAACCGTCATAGAATCTGAAAGAATGAACATCCTTCTATATACATGTATGCTGAATACAAACATTATCTATACTGATAAAATCTCAAGCTTGTAACTGAGCGAGATCTGGTTATCTCAGTTGAGGGTTAGATTCTGTAACATGATCCCAACTGAGGCATAAGCCTCGGTTGGGATGTTACAGAATCTTAGCCTGAGACCGAGATATCCGATTTCGCAGTTATAAGTTATAGATAGGGGGGAGGATGATACATATGTATTCTATGTTTCTATGAGTAAGGTGATAGCATAGCTCAAAACAGATATCTGGGAAAACACTCAAAGTTGATTGTGTACCAGTCAGAATGGTGATAGCAATATGACGTTTAGAAAGATCAATCCTGAACTGCCAGAAATTTAAATTTTAAATCTGATAAACCATGACATTGTTAGATGCATTCTCACCTGTGGGTAGCACACGTTTTTTTGGATCCAAACTCGTATCAGGATGCCTCGAAGCATATTGCCGGTGTAAGGTGTCTGGAAAACATGGAATAATCAAATATACAAATTTTTATATAACAGGGTCTACAATGTCATCTCTATTCTGCATCGGAACATGTTGATATGCTACGGATCAATGTTTGGTAAACCAATTACCTTTCGGCCCAGGAGTCGTCTTATAAAATTCTTCATTATTAAAAAGAAAATTCTGGAGCTACATGTGTACTTTGCACTGTGCAAAACAACCATACTATGATTGGCATGCTTTGTTTTTACCATCATACGGTCATTTAATAACATATAATTGTGTTTGAACCTCTATATATTAAAAGACACTACTTTTTCACACATTCCTATGGACTGGATCATATTCACATTCAGTGCAGTGATTTGTAATACCCACTCAAGTTGCTGTTTTTAGAAACAGTAGGTAAATATTCTCTTTATGACAGCAATTTAATTGAAATGTCACAATGCTATTTTCCAAATGAACAGCATAATTTCACATCTAACAGAACAATAACACACTTTTATTTCATTGAATATGTGGTTATATGGACCTGAAAAGTGATATTCGCCATGACTTCGTCTTAGTTAATATCACTTTCCAAGGTCCATATAATCACATTTTCACCTCAACTGAAGTCCATAACTGAAAAATACATTTAAGTATCTATAATATGCGCTATAAGAATTCTCACCACTATGAAACAGAACATAACTTTAACACAGCAATGGTGTAGTATGCAATATGTATTAGGATAAAATATTTGATATATTAAATGAGGAACCAAAAAAATAGCTACAAAAACAGTAATACATTACCAAAATGTTTTCTGTTGTCTTCTGCCATTTTCTCTGTAATAACATCAGTTGCTTTTCTGACAATCTCTTTAAGTATGTCCGATCCACTTGCTCTGATCAGCTCTTCCTTTACTTTGGCTATTATATATGCTGTGAATTGATCTGCACGTTCAGCTAATAGTGCCTCTATTGTCCTTAAAGTTGTGTCATTTACAATACCAGCAACTCTCTTTTCAATGTCTTGAACCGCCTTATCGAAACAGCTGGTCAGGATCGTGCCGACTTCCTGCTTGACAGGGTCGGTAAGAGTTGATGACATTCCTGCAACTTCATCTTTAACTACAGCGGATATTCTAGTCTCTATGTCACTGCTCACACGCGCTAAACTGTCGCCTATGAGAGTTCCTAGTTCCTCCTTGGTTGCCTTAGAAGTCCTTTCTAGCTGCATGTTGAAAGCAACTGCAGCATCATCCGTGATCATAGACGCATGTTCCTTCATTTGGGTTAAGGTTTCTTCTATGTAACTTTGTACACATTCAGTTATTTCTCTTTCTGTCGATTTCACTGCTGATGTAGTGTGATTCTTGATATGGGTAACAGCTGTATCTATGACTGTTGACACATCATTTACAATTTGCTCGGCTGAATCTTCCTGTGATCTGGAAATATGTCTTATAAGCATTTCTACATTTTCTAACTCTTCCACCACCCACTTATCGACTAGTTCTTCATATTTCTGTTGCTGCTGGTCATCAATTGGTGCTAATTTCAACTTCTTTGAATCACGTTCCATTGCATCTGGATCTCTACATAACCGTTTAAATGCACATGTAAGGTCCGACCACATGGTATCGAAAGCACTGTCGCTAATTGGTTGTGTGGCCCGATAGTGTGCTAGTATGTTTCTGTACAGGTGAATCCGACATACGTCATCTTGCATGGAAATTTCTTCTTCTTTAGGCTTATGATTCCAGTTGCTTTTTGGGGGTTTTGAGATATTGCGAATGATAAAAAACAAGAGGGACACATCTAATTTTTTTATATCAACCTCCCCCTTATAGGTATCAATTTTGTTCCAACTTTCTTCCCCAATTTTGTAACGATGTTTACACAAGTGTTTTCTATGAGATTGGAGAACCATAATCAAACCATGCTTTCTGAGGAAGTCCAATGCCGTTCCTTGTTCATGAGACATACGGAAAACCTTTTTGATGGTCAGGTCTTCAAATTCATTCAGTTTTGGTAGATGTCCATCGGTCGGGAAAAGCTCTTCAAATGTTACAGATAAATTTAAACTGTGTTCTAAATGAGCCTGCTCAAGGCGTTTTCTTTCGTCTGCAAGTAGACAATTGAACACAACATCCAGAAGTGCAAGTTCCATCACATCAGTTCCAGTACTGCACATATACATGATTAAGCGGCAGAAATTAGCATTTTGACGAATTTTTTTTCTTTCCATTTCGCTCAATGAAATTGTTAAGAATTCGATGAAAAATGTGTAGTCCTCTGCATTTTCTCCATAAACCTGTAATGAAATAAAATGATAGTAATATGCATGCTTGACATATGTTATTTTCATCCATTATCAATTGGCAATGTAAGATAGGAGTTTTACGCGTGATGGAAAGTTGTACAAGATTACTAGAATCTCTCACCCTGAGGGATCTCACCCAAGGGAAAAGATCCTTAAGTTGCCAAACACGAGGCTTTGCCGAGAACGATTCTTTTTCTCTTACCCTGTTCTCCCATTGTCACCGTGCAGTGTTCTCCCCAGGCCGTTTTAGCTACACATGACTTTTGAGCCGTTACGCATCACCAGTTTACCGTTACTCATCGAGAGGTATTTACGACTAGAACATAAAGTTCTCACAAATTGATAACCTCTTCTCCCCTTTCCAATCAGACTCACCCTCATCATTAGACTAGGTTTTTTTTATTGTTCCCTACGATCGACACCCTGATCATCGAACTCTGCCCTGCGGGAAAATTTACCTGTGCCGTGGGGATGTGATTTACTAGCCTACCTGTCCTATACTGTATGTGTGAAATGCGAACAATAAACCACAATTACCAGTTTGTAACTTCGTCTAATTATAATTAATGATATATCTGTTAATTATCAAGGCTTCAATCTACGTTCTGAACAATTCTGTAACAATACATCTGATACATATGTACATCAAACAATGTGAAATATTGCTGAATCTATCTATGAAATATTACTGAATCTATCTATGAAATATTACTGAATCTATCTATGAAATATTGCTGAATCTATCTATGAAATATTGCTGAATCTGTCTATGAAATAATGCTGAATCTGTATGAAATAATGCCCATGTGTAATCTTGTACTCTCTCTGTCATGTTTTATTTTGATTGATGTTATTTTGTTTGACCTCTTGTTACACACTTTGTGTGTCAGAGCGTAATAAAAAAACCTTGAAATCTTGAATCTTGATTTTCATAGGTGACAGGCAATTACACCGAAATAAGAAATACAAACAGGTTACAGTAACTTTGTACGCAGAAACGTCTGCTTACCTACCTATGCTGCATTGTTTTTGGCCATTAAATTTTAATGCTTGAATAAGTTAGCTATGTGAGAAGCCATTATCAACAAATGACTGTCGATACAACTTTAAGAGAACATGAAATATTTTTGCTTCATCAAGATAGATGATAGACTGCACGTGGCGGCCATATTGTTTTGATAACCTGATTAATCTTACGTGATCCGTGATGCAATAGCGTTTGAAACACGGATGAGGGACGTTAATCATTTTCGCGCCAAAATTATAAAAAGCACATGGATTATAATAATTCATTTTGATAACTATATATCACTAGGCCTATGTAAGTTTATATTTAAAACAGCATTGTTGTGATTTTTTTTAGATTTTTTGTTTGCTGAATGATTACAGGTATCTAGGCCCTGTTAATTTCATAACTAAGGGATTTAAAAAAACAAAATATTATAAAAATAAATCATTGATTTAAAAATTAATTAAATATTTGTCCAAATAAATACCTTTGGTTGGAAATGTTTTTATAATTGATTTATTCTCGGGACATTCATTTATTTCTATGATGATATCATTGGGAAAAAATGCTGAAACTGTCTGCTAAAATTATCCATTTAATCTTGAGACAATTTTATAGTGGTATTAGATAAATTCAAAATTTCAGTATTAAATTATTTGATATAATGCCACAATGTGGCAACTTAATTATATCCATCTACATAGATCAATTGATGCTTTGTAAGAAAATACCTCTACCATAAATGCAAATTATGTAGGCAAGAAATGTCCCATCCTTAGGCGTCCCTCCTTGGGTACATAATTCGGGTTCAAAAAACCTCAGCAAGCCTCAGTTTTTACCCCAAATTCTTACACTGAGGTGGGACATTTCTAACCTTCACACATATGATAGAGTCATATGCAAACCAGTGACCATTTTGGATGGTGCTGAACTAGTGAGCACGTCCCAGGGTTAAACTATATTGCTGGGAGGCTACCTAATTACCAGTAAGGTATTATTGTTCCCTTTTAGGCCCTATTCTCCTTGGTGGTTACACTATTCCACGATCAAGGAAGTTGTGTCCTGGGGAATTTTGTGGATCACCCTGTGTACCAAACTAACTTCCATTACCACTTGGAAATGCCCTTAACCCATTAACCCCTACAAATCTAAAATGGACTTGCCCAGTCTTTGATTTGGTAAGGTTCAAATGTGACTTTAGGTGTGAATGGGTTAAGGTACACAAGAGTCACATGTCTGCACAAAATGTAACTTGCAGGTGGCACCCTCCAGCTACAGACCAAGATAGACATTGTTTAACTAGTTAGCAATGTCTCACAGTTATAACTGCATCACTGGAAAAGCTAGCAGTATCTTCCCCTCTATTCATCTAAGCCATATTCTTTGGCTGCAACAATTTTTGCATCTTTGCAAAAAAAGTACCAAATAAATAGTCTTAGGTTCTGAAACAACCAGGCACCGAAACGTTAAAAATTCTCAATAAGTTGGGGGTCAAATAGAAAAAAAGAATTACCAGAATTTTCCTAGGAAACCAGTGTTTAAAAGGCTGGCTGTGTGTTTTCAAAACGACTGAAGTCGTTGATTCGGTTGTTGATTCTTGAGTGGAACGTCATGTTGAATTGATGATCCCATAGACCGTTGTGCACTGTGCTGATCTGGGCCAATGGACCGACTCGTTCACTCTGACCTGGGCCGGGGTTCCCCACTCTGTCATCTCTCATCCTCCATAGCAATGTCTTATTCTCCTTAAAGTAAAACGAAAAATAACGATATCTAAAATAAGATACCAATAACATGTCAACAGCACTCATTGTAAGACTTGTAATTGTCAATAATAATAAATCGAGGTTCTTATATACAGCTTTATCTAAAAACCTAGTTTGTAGGTCGTCGCGAAACGTTCACAAAATATTATCCGGGGTAATGGGTCTTTTGTATGAACCATGCAGCCAACATCTTTCTCAACTCCCTTGGGGAGCATACAGCCGGTGCTGCCATTTCGGTGCTCACAGCTAGCATTCAACAAACCTAGCACTGCCCAAACACATACTCATTTACAGCTGAGAAGACCGGAACAAGCGGAGTAAAGTATCTTGTTCAAAGATACAATACAGTGCTGTGACGTGACTCGAAACCCGCAACCCTTCGGTCACGAGCCCGGCGTCCTACCACTAGACTACCATCCCTCCCAAGTTCCATGTTCATTACTGAAAACCTATAAAAAGTATAAACAGGAAGTTTACAAAGCCAGACTAACACAAATACCCGCAATGTGATCAAACATATCCGGAGGAATCACAGATAAAGTAACAAGACCAAATGAATAGTATTATTTCCTAGGCAGCTCGTATGTTAATTCAAAAGGTAGAAAAACTTTTTTTGCTAACCATTGCCGACACCACAAAATTGAACTGTGAACCAGTACTTTTTTCAAGATGTATTAACATTATTTCATCATTTCATAAGCAAATTAGTTCAAAATTCATAATTTGCATAATCATTGGAAATTTTTTTAACAATATTTTTTCGGAGAAGAAAAAGGGAGAATACATTGAATTATGTTGCGCCTCCTTCCACATGTGTGGTAGGGTTGGAGTACTATAATGGTTTAAATGGTTTAAAAAATAGGGCAATGTTTTTTACTCTACTTATATAGAGCATGAGTTCTGACTTTAACAGTGCATATCACTAAATGCCAATAAAAACTTTAGGGTTATATAAGCACAAGAGTCTAATTGGTAGATTGGGTTAGCGGAAACAAGATTTTTTTGTTTACGTTTAAGCAGTAAAATCCTGTGCTTATCGTGCATATTTTTATTATGTATAATGTGTAGAGTAATGATAATATGGTTAATATATATACAATTATGGACTTGCACTTGGATAATCTAATCTAATTCTGTAACAATATTGTAAAATCCGAAATAAGGGGGAATAACTCCTGTTCATTTTAAGTAGGATTAAAAAATATGTATGCACATAGACAAAGAAATAAAACCAAATATATTTTGGGGCATGTTAAGATGTGTAACCACGGAATTAGATTGGCTGTCAAAACAGTGTCACACTATCGGTCTCTCGTCACCTAGGTAAACATCGATACCGGAAATCGGTCTGAGATAGCACGCAAGCGCAGTAGGCTTACAGGTAAATTGGCACAGGCCGTCACGGTTCGATGCACAAATTAAAGAGGTGGACAATGTACGGCGAAATGTAACGCAACTTATATTATTTTAATGGCTTTAATCGAAATCTGACAAAACTGCAATTACAACTGCTTGTCATTCAGTCTGTGGTCCATGATGCAAATAACTTAGGGCCTTCTAAGAGGAACCTGCACTATCAAATGTATACGTAATTTTGAATATTTTAGAAGAATATTTGAGGTACAATTATGTGCATGCACCCACTCAAACGAACAGGAGTGATGTTTGGAACCAGGAAATGGGTTTCACTGACGAAGTCGGTGTTCGGTTGACGTGAGGGGGTTAGTAAAGTTGCCACTTCCGGGCCATCCGAGATTCTAATTCCTGTCCATCCTGATTCCAGGTCACGATCTGAGGTCGGACAGCTCCTCAGATGCGGACAGGCGGTCACAGCGGCTGCGGTCCAGGAACGACGTCCATTGTGTAAGGACTTTCCTCCTATAAGTGATTATCTACACCCCTCCATAGGCGGTTCTGATTTATGACGTCACTGTATGTGTGTTAGTTTAAAAATAGTATCAGTGGAATTTCCGAGATCTACCACAGGGACCCGAGCAATTGTTACTGTTATATTTGACCTAAGTTCAAAGTAATTTTACACGTTTTAGGGGTATAGATAAACTTTTGGTATTAAAAGTCATTCGATCGTAGATTACCAAAAGCTAGCTGATCCAGGGACAGTATATAGAGGGGATTGGCAACTCTGCCCCAGTCAAGATTCTATAGCACGTCGCTTTTGTGTTTGTTCACCGAACCGCGAAGTCATCGAGAGCCCCTCTCGATCAGCCCGCGCTTGCGCACTAGCGTTAAAATCATGTCACCAATCTCGCCGAGATGGGAGTGTTTTGATAACGGTTAGCCCTGATTGGGACTGTGTATTAGTAGGTCTTCTTTTTATTCCAGGGATAGGGCTATCGTTGCCACTATGTCTAGCCTTTCGGCTGTGTTGGTGGCTATTACAACAAATCACATTTCGTAAAGCACGTTCCAGTGAAAATAATGCTAATATTGACACTTTTTGACACAAAAACA